TGTGAAAATTGAAAATTGAATTGAATCCGTATTAAATAGCAAAGCGCTTTTAACTGAAGACAACAATTGTGAATTGTAAATCGTAATACTCCCCAATGGATTTGTCACCTGGTCTTTCCTTCTCTTTCACTCTCTTCAAGTTGACGTCGAAATTGATGAATAAAATTGAGGCTGGTGGTAAAAGTGTGCGGCGTATGACAAAGATTAATAACGATGATGATTTTGTTGATTTTGCCGATGATTATGGTATTGATGATGATGATGATGATGTTGACTGAGGACACTTGATATGTCTATCAACAACTTATTGAGGTTGCTATGTGTGTATTCGAATAAAAATAATAATAATTGTGCACCATTCGGTGTTGAGTACAAAAGAAAGTTTTTTTTTTTTTTTTTTTGGCACTCAAAGCGAAAAGAAAAAATAACAATTTTGTGTCATTATAAGAAGTAAATCCACTAAAATGATGTCACAATGAAGCTAATTTCAAGGAGTTTTGCTGTGCCAAGGAAAAGAGATGAAGAAAAGTTTGTTCAAGTTAAACCAATTGAATTGAGCCTTGATGTCGGATTTGAGAGGCAGAAAAATACATACGAAAAAGTTACTTCAAGTTAAACCATGAAAACAAAAGTTTTCGCATCGTTTTCTCATGTTTCTGCAGTACGAGTTGTCAACATATCAAATTCACTTCAAGCTGCCAATAAGCAGCTATTTTATGTTGACAAACACTATTTGCGGCTGCCGGATTTGCATTTTAGCTGTCAAATGTTTCACAGCTCGATTAACTGCCTGATCAATTTGAATCGCCAAATCAGCTTAAGAGAGAGTTTCAAACTGGGAATTAAACCTGTTGGCAGCTAGACTACCTAAACTCATTGACTAACTGGGCAAAATGACTGCATATGCATAGAATATCAAAATGAATTTCAACTAAATTGAATGCTCCCAAATTTAAGTGGGTTAATCATCTAGAGGCGCAATCATGGTAAAGAAAAAGGGAATCAATTCAGTTTTGAAAAACTAATAAGAATAAAGTTAACATAAACCCAAATAAAAAAATTAAAATGATTAATTAATTAACTTAATTGTCATATGTCTAACAGCCAGATGCTGTAGTAAATTCAAAGGTGAACTTCAAAAATATATGGAAAGTCCTTCTTAAATTTGGCAACAAAAATAGCTTTCAATTATTGTAAAAATTAAGATAGTTACATTCATTCATTTGTGTATATATTTTATATTTGTAATATATTTTATATTTTATTTTATATTTTCTTTAGTTAATTTCCAAGTTCAATCTAATTATAAAATATCAAACAGCTAAAGGCTTTATTAAATTTAAGACTGAAAAGTGCCCTGTCAAACAACATCTTGAAAATAGCCATCAATTAACTCGAAAGAACTAAAAATTTAATTATTCATAGAAATACAATAAAAATAACTATAACCCCCCCAACAATAACAGGACAACAAACACTTTCAGTTTATCCAAGCAAACAACATAAAAAACTGTCAAACAACAAGGAAAGTCGAGATTTTTTTTGCTTTTTTGTTTTTCGGCTCTGTTTAAAATAATATGCACCACCGAATGATTGACAAAAATCCAGCAACCACCCAGCTGTCCCTCTGCCTCTGCCTCTGTCTGTCGGGGGGTCAAGAGCGTTGCCTGTACAGGGGTCACTCGTAAAAAAGGCCGTACCAAATATTGTTTTCTGTACAAAATGAGCGTGAAACATGGCGGGACTTCTAGTTGGATGGTTGAATGATTATGGTCGAGTATGGAGTACATATTGTATTTACTGTATTAGACAGCTGGCCCACTGGCTCTATTGCTGACTCACTCTAACTGTTCGTCTCTCTCTCTCTCTCTCTCTCTGTCGCACATCAAGCTGCGCCGACGCACAGCGTGTGATAAAAAAACACTTGAGGCTAATTTCGCTGGCTTGTTGCTTGAGCATTTTCAATGGGCCAATAACAGATTTTTTTAATTAAGCCAGCGACATGATTGTTAATAGCTAAGTCTACAACAACAACAGCAATAATAATAAATGCTAAATGTACAACAACAACAACAGTAACAAAAACAACAACAACAGCAACAGCAAATTGTCGCTTTAACACAAAAAGCTGTTGGGAAGCAATTTGTTGTGCAGTGAATGAATAAGTGAGTGACTGAGTGAGTGAATGTGTGAGTAAATGAGTTAAAGTGTGAGTGCATGAATAAAACTGAGTGAATGCCAATTTACCGTTGTTGTTGTTGTCGCTATTTGTTGTCCAGTGCACACGCGTATTGAATTTCCAGAGAACATGTTTTTTTCATTTTCATGCGAGAATAATTTTGAATGGCGGAAAAACGTTGCTAGCAAAAAAATACAACATAAAAAAATAAACAACAACATTGTTTGTCCAATGGTCGGTGGACACTTGACAAGCTATGGCAATGACCATGTGCCCCCCTCCCTCTCTCCCTCTCTCCCTCTCTCTCTCTCTCTCCTCCAACCCGCCACGCCATCTCCTTGTGCACCCAGGGGAGTTTGGTGCAGCTGCCATTTGAATTGCATTTGTATTAGTTATTTGTTTTTATTTTTTGTTTATTTTTTTTTGTATTTAATGAAAGGTTATTTGAAATTGGTTAACTGAATGGCGAACAGCAGGAAAACAAAATTCATTAAATTCATTAAAGCTGGCTAAAATTGCTTAAGCACTCAGTTAAATCCAAAGTGTAATTGAAGATTGAAGATACTTTTCGAAAGTGGATAATTGATCAAAAGATGTGCAATGGGAGTGACATGAAATCAATATCCATAAATGCCTTTCAATCCGGATATTACATATTGTGCAAAGATTATTAAATACGATTAAAGACTTTAAGTTAATATATTTCTAGTCTTTTTTTATTATATATTTTCTCATAACTATTGCTTGTCTATTTTGCTAGTATTCTTTCTGAGTTTTACTGAATTTTATTAAATGATTGTTATTGCTGAAATGCCAAGTTAATGTCGAACAGTCTATTTTTGAATACAAAATCTATTCACAACAGATTCATTTGCCATTAATCATTTCGAAAATTACATTTAGCACAAAATAAAATGTCAATTTTTAGTAACTAAAAAATGAAAATTTCTGATTTTAACTCAACTAAAACTAAACTTATGTTTAAATTGAGCTTAGTATGGATAACAATCTGCACATATCAAAAGTGAAATTTGAATGAATTATTTAATTAAAATTTTATTATTAAAGGTAATTTATTTTTTTTTTTTTATTATATTATTTGTCTTACTTGTAACTCAAAATACTAAAAGAAATCCTCATACAGCTGCTTAGCTACGCTGATTTCCGTCCATAAATCTTCGAGTTGCTTTGGCTCGACTATCTAACTATGATCTATGATTAGAAAACGCCCCTCGAGTGTCTCTGTCAACCCTTGTGTGGTGCAACCACTCAACCACTTGAACAGTGAATGCAATTGTGAATGTCGCAATAAATCTTCAAAAAAAAAACAACAAAAAAGGAGAGAAAAATTTGTCACTTTCACCGCGACAGAAAAACAATTGACAAATGTGGCCAAAATGCTATACAAAAAAACCCAAAAAGAGGAGAATAAAATAAAACAAAATAAATGTTGTATTATATGGGCGCTGAGTTTTACGGTAAATTGCGCTGGCATAAAAGGTAAGTCATCCTTAATCCTTTTTTTTTTTATTTCATTTTTGTATTTTGTTGTTGCAGCGAAATTGCCACTCAAAAGGTGAAAACTGTCGAAAAACATGCGTCGTGTGTCGTCCAGCATCTCCTGCTGTGCGCCTGCGCTGACTTATTGGCAGCTGACCAGTCAGCCAGCGGGACGATCAGCAGCAGCAGGATGTGCGTACGGATGTGGCACGTGGCACGGGGCAAGCAAAAAAGGGGTCGTTGGTGCCTGCGGTTGCAGCACAAATTGAAATAGCAAAAATCATTGCCACGAATCGCCATGGAAAATTGCATTGGATTTAATTGCATTTACAATGACCAAACAAATGCGATTACAACATTTTAAAGCAGCGACGCCGACCAATGTCCGGCATTTCAAATTTTTAGGGTACAATTCACGCCTCGCTACACAAAAGCGCTGTAAATTATATTGTTAGAGCTCCGATCAAAATCGGGGAGGGCACAACTGAAAGAGAGGGAGAGCGAAAGAGAGAGAGCGAAAGAGATAGAGAGAGAGAGTGCTGCATAATTGCAACGGCTCTGAAACAATTGAAACACAAACAGAACATCTAGTTTCACCCACCCCCTATCCCCTACCCCTACCCATACCCCTGTCTGTTCCCTGACCAGCTAGTCGTGTAATTTTATTAGTTTTGCGCTCATCGATTATTTGTTTAGGATGCTGTGCAGCAGGAGGAAACGGTTGCCGTTATAGTTACAGTTATGGCCAGTTACATGACGGGACATAATAATAAACATGCCAACTAAATTATGGAACAACTGGCAACCCTTAAATGCAGTGCGTTACGCAACTCGACAACTCATTGCTATTTTGATACATATTGTTACCAAATATAGAGCTACAAAATATAAATATATATTTGGTAAACTATTTTTATAATTTTAATATGTCTTCCGTTGACTTTCAGGCAAGTATTTCGATATATTTAGAGTCCCGAAAAGCATTTAAGTATTTTCGTGCTTAAAACTGAAATACAATCTTATCAAAAAAAAACAAAAAAAAAGGTAAGCATCCAATCAGATTCCTATTCGAATCAATAGCGTTGCCACGTCGTTGAAAAAAGTAGCTGCCTGCCACTGTGGCTGCTGCCGTGACACAACACACAATTCACAGCAATTATGTATCGATTTTATTGATGTGTACCAAAAATTACGCAGATTTCTATTCAAAACAATAATTAATAATAGTATAGTATAGTTGGAGTCATGTTGCACAACAACGCAACGATAGCAGTTCCACTAGTTCAAATGAGCTGAGTTATTTGTCATCGCTAAACAAGTCGATAATTTATTGGCGCATCTCTAAAACATAGCAAAATTTAGGCAACAAATTTTGAAGAGCTAACAGCATAAAATGGCCAGCAAGCAGTTGATAAACCGCTTAAGCACAGTTGGATGCCGTGGCCAGAATTGGCTAACGCCATTGGCCGTCGTGCGCAACTCGAGCACACGCGACGACATCCAGACTGTCACCCACACTGGCCAGGTGAGTGCTGCTGCTGCTGCTGCCGACAACGAACAGCTGTTGAGGAGACCCGATTACGCAAACAAAAATGTCAAACAAAATCTTTGGGTTTTCATTGTAGGTGTTCGACAAGGACGACTATCGCAATGTGCGCTTCACGAATGCCAAGCGCTATGTGAACGAGAACTGGGGCATCAAGCTCATCGACGAGCAGCGTCCCATTGAGACCACGGAGCGCGTTGTCTACTGCGACGGTGGAAACGGGCCACTCGGCCATCCTAAAGTCTACATCAATCTGGTGAGTTGTGGCTTATGCGCTGCTTTGACTCAATAATAGATGATGTTATCATGTGTTGTTTCTTAGGATAAACCTGGCAATCACATCTGCGGCTATTGCGGCCTGCGTTTTGTGAAGAAGGATGACCATCATCATTAGAGGCTGCTGTGGAAACTAGTTGAAGCTGTTGAATATACTATTACAAAATAATAATAAAACCTAGAACTACCGCGATAATTGACGGCACTTCAAATCATCAACAGTTCTTTTTATAACGGAATAAATTGCATGGATTATATGACTATAGCTTGTATAATGGACATTCGACTAGCGTTCACTGTTCGACACTACATGTTCGACTGCAATCAGTCAAAGTAGAATAGAACTTAGCATTTTGGTCAACAAACTGTTAACTCTAATCTTCAACTAGTTTGGGTTCTTCTAAGCAAAGCTAACCATTAACAAACTGAGAAATTGTAGAATGCATAATACAACTGGACATAGATGAACATCGAAGGAACTGTAATCTTCAACTAGTTTGGTCATCAAATAAAGTCGAGTCAATGAAATCAATCCATTAACACTGCTTATAAGCCACTTTTGATGAAGGCTACTGGTTACACTTATTGCCTACTCAATTTTCATGATATATTCTTATCTGAAAGTATCCTTTATCAAATTAAGAGAAGAAAAAAAACACTCTTTAGCTTGTTGCACTTGTCTATTGTACAACATTATTTATTCACTTGCATATTGTTGAATGACATCTAATACAAATGTATTTGTTGTTCGCATTGTGGTCTATTTGTGTAATTAGTAATTAAAATATGATCAACTAAAATTAGTAGCTTTTTGTAAAGTAAATCATATGAGTAAGTATATAATATATTTATGCAAATAAATCAGTTGCATAAGCTAAATAATTATAAATCACAAAGAACACAAAAAAAAAATACATAATAATAATATACATATATAAATGGTATATATGTGTGTAGATCCGATCACCATTTAACTTATTGGGATTGCATATGTATATATATATATATAAGAATATCGAAAATAAATCAGTATGTGTATATATAGATATATATATATATATATTTGTATAGGTCATAATTATGCTTGTTAGCGGTATACTATAGAATTTGGTTGCATTTTTGTGTTGCTTTCTTGTTGTTATATGCGTTTTGTAACGGTTATCTTTGTTACTACGGGCACTTTAGATGCTGCACGCTCCAATTGAGACACAGATAGTACCACGAATAGAATATAAAATACAAAATAATAATTTTGTCCATCAAACCGTTAGCCGTCGGCTGTCAGCTGTCAGCTGACTAAAAATCAAGCTCGTTTTTCCGACTGGCTAAACTCAAAACAGAACACCAACTCCGAGCCTGAACTGAACGACACGAGACGAAGATGATGCGATCCGACACGAAGAGGACTCGTGTGTGAAACGAACTTTCGTTGCTTTCATCGCCTTCGTCTTCGTCTGTGTCGTTGCGCTCTCTCTCTCCGTCACTCTCTTTCTCTCTCTCTCTCTGGGCGCGCTGAGATGCGATGCGATGGGAATCGTCCCCTTGCAGTAATGCTCTGGAACTGAAAGTGGGAATGAGAGCCGCTGCTCCCAATACACACACAAGCACGCACACGCACACACACACACATCTGGACGCGCGCACACACGCAGGCAGACAAACGGCGACTTTTTCTCAAAACGGAAAACGGAAACGGAAAAAGGAACGCCGTCGCTGCGGAAATAATGATCAATATATGGTCAATCAATAATCGTCGTCATCTGTAGTTGTCTCAATTGCGTTTCATCTAAAAATGCACCAACAAACACTGAAGAGAATGTAAACTAAAATGTAATAGGTTCTAATTTGGATGATTTTGATGTTGTTGTTGCTTTTGCTGTTGTTGTAGTTGCTGTTGTTGTTGTTGTTGTTGTTGTTGTTGTGTGGGACTATGTTGCCGACGAATCGCTTTTGCTTATATTCATATTGTTGTTGTTGCTGCTGTCGCTGGAGTGGCAGCAATGATCGCTTATCTTGATTGGGGCAATAGCTGTTCACCACTGGTCACCAGAGGTTCCTGGGCATGGCGTAACCTTCTTTTGTCACAAATATATTGCGATTCATGTTCGCCACACGATCAGCTCCAGTACCAGTTGCAGATCCAGTTGCTCCCTCTCCGACTGCTGCTCCCAGCGATTTGGAGGCCAGTCCATCCTCCTGGCTGACAGTCGTCTCCTTGCGACCATCTACGATGCGAGTAACGGTTGTCGTCTTCTGGCCGGACGAGTCCTGGGTGACTTTGGTGGTCTCATAGCTGCCATCCGGTTTGCGGATCGTCTTCGTCATGACGCTCTGGCTAAACATCTTCGGGCCCTGATAGGTGCCATCGAAAACGCCACCAAACGGGGTCATCGGTGTCATGATGCTGGGCTTGCCGGTCGGCGGTGGCGGCGGGGGGCGTGAGGGTCGCATTACGCCCGGCTTCAGTTCGCCATCCGCATTGAGGGTGCCATGGATGCGACCCATGATCAGCTCCTCATCCGAAAGCTTGAAGCGAGGCAAACTCTTGCGCAGACCACGTTGATTCGACGGCAAAATATGCTCGTTGCCTTCCTCCGGATTGAGACGCTGTATCAGCGAGTACAATTGATCCGGATAAATTCTGCACAAATTAAAGATTAATAACATATATTTCACATCGTTTTTTTATAGTTACTTACTCTCCATCCAAATCGGTGTCCAGCGCACTTGCCTTCTTCTGAAACTCCTTGAGTATCTTGCTTTCGAATCCCGGCTTCAAGAAGTCCTCCTTCAGATTGCGCTCAACGCCAGCATCTGTTGAGGGGCATTTAGAGTGGATTAAAATAGGTTTATAAATATTTATGCAAATAAATAAATAAAGATGAAAACAACAAGATAATAAATACATAAATCGTATATATTTGTGTAGATCTGTTCACTATTTAACTTATTGGCATTGCACATTAGAATATCGATTAAAAATCATAATTATATAATTTAAAGTGGATTAGAAGAAGTTAAGAATAAAACAAAATATTTTAATAAGTTAACCAGATATTAAAAAGGGCAATTAAAACTAAAATTTAAATTTCTGAATAATTCCTTAAAGCTTATATTAGAAGACTGTACGTATATATTTACAATATTCAATAAAAAATTAAAGACTTCGTTCTGATTAGATAAGATAAACAATTTTCAACTCCTATTAGCAATAATTCAACCTTAGCGAGTGTTTACTGTATTGGGAGGCCTACCCTCGTTGTTCTCATGTATCGACTCCAGGAGACGCTGCAGTTGACGCTCAAAGTGTTTTTCCATTTCCATTGGGCTGGTGAAGACCTGGAACGCAAACTTGCGATCATCATCGAAGAGTTCATCATCCGTTTCCGCCTCCTCAAACCATTGCGGCTTCCTGAACTCATCCTTGCTCGAAGCGGATGCGGAAGCGGAAGCGCTGCACCAACAAAAAAGAAAAATACACAAAAAAAAATGTAGTAGGTGTAGTAGGCGGCTTTATCAAATACACCAAATACAGTTACGTCAGACACACACACACACATACGACGACCGCCAACTCCCCCTCGACCCAACCACAGGCAAAGTTCACTTCAATACGCAGCCTCCGCAAAATACACACACACACACACACACATATGCATGCAGGCGCCTGTGTATATATCCTGGTAAAAAGTGTATCTATCATGTGGCAGGTGCCTGGTGCCTGGTTTATCGATCCATCCACACAAAAAAGCCGCTGCTTCAATTTGCAGTTTTGTGCACTTTTTGCATACTTAATACTCACTCTTGCTCCTTCTGCTGCTGCTGCTGCTGGTCAAACTCCGATTGGAACATTTTCTTCAGTATATCCATGGCGAGATTGTTGTTGTTGGTATCTGGTTTGTTGTTTTGTTTATTTTACTTTAACCTTTTTGTTGGTTGGCCGAGCAACACAGCGTTCTGAATTTATATAGAGAAAGAAAAAACTAAAAGAACCAAAATGACGCAAATAACAATAGTGTTGGCTAATTTGTGAGAAAGTCTCGCTTTTCTATACACTTTTCTATTTTTTAGTTTTCTTTTCTTTCCTTTTTTCCTGATAATAATTGTATTTGTGTGCAGAGAATTTTCAAGTATCCTAAAAACCACCACGACAAAAACAGAAATTGCTCGATTTGCCAGCCAGCAAACAGCTGATTGCTTGGCGTTCCGCTTCGGCTGTTTCACATGCATGCATTGCACACACTCATACATACATACTCGCACAATCATGCCAGCAATGAAATGGAATCGAAACGCACTGGAATTAGAATATGGCGCGTTAATTCAAAAAACAATGCTAATTAATTAGAAATCAGCTGATATGGGTATTTATAATAATTTATTCAACTCGCTGCTTTAAATATATGAATAATTTCTATATGTGATGAAAGACGAATGGAAACCCTGATTACGACCTGAAAATCGTATTCTTTAGCTTCTCATTTACTGTGCGGCAATCTTAGAATTGTTTAACATATATCTTTTTTTGTTGTTACAATATTATTGTAACTATATATTTGTTATCAGTTTATCGGTTTAGTTGTTGCAGTTGTCGGCTTCAACTGCGAGATCTTCAAATTTGTACAAATACAAAAGTTGCTGGCTGGTTTTCTCTTCTTTTCTTTTTTTTAGTTTTAGCTTGCTTTTGATACTTTTTTGGCAATTGTTTTTTTTTTGTTTGTTTTCTTAAATTTCTTAAAGTGTTGTGTATGAGATATTCTCCTTGTTGTCGACGTTGCCGCAGCGTATGAACTTTTGGACCCTCATCATTTTATTCTCATCGGCGCATTTGGTTGTGATCGCATTGCGAACTTCCTTTTCGCTGGCATTCGATTTGTGGGTCACCGCAAAGATGATGTCCTGTACCTTGAGCGGATCGAGCATTGGCTTGAGCGGCTTGTGCTGACCCTTAAATGCCGGCGACGGTTTCCCCGACATCGAGTGCGTCGCCAACATTTCCCGATCAAAAATGGCCACCAGCAGTTTGCGAGTGGCCAGCGAGGAAACAGACCAATTGATATTCTCAAAGATGCTGGCCGGGACGCGAGTATCATTCGGTCCAATGGACACCATCACATTGTCAGTCAACTGCTGTTGCTGCTGCGGCAAATAAGATTCCTTGGGGCGACTGTAGCTGCGTCGAGTGGGCAGCTTGTACTGGACATTGTGCGACTGTGGTGTCGACGTTGTCCGAATGCTATTGTTATTGTTTTCCTGCAGCTCCAGTTTGCAGCGTTTGTTTAAATGCCCTGTGGAGGATTCACGCTTGCCATACTGCTGGTGCTCCTCGTTGCCCAGGCAGATCTCCAAGCGATCCGAGTCAGCCGATGTGCTCAGACTGTTCAAGCTCTCTGCAGCCAGGCGTATCTCGATGGCATCCGCATCGTCGCCCTTAATGATCTTGTAGTCAATCACCTCGGGATGCTGCTGGGATTGCCCCGCCGTGGAGGCTGGGGCAGCTGCACATATCACCGAACTGGGCGGTGTCAGAATCTGTGGCTGTTGTTGTGTTAATGGCGCCACTGTTGGTGGCGATGGCGATGTGGCGACAACTGTTGACATTGCCGATTGCATGCGTGCCGATGTTTCATGTATTTGGGACAAGAGATCCGTGTGCTCCTGCAGCTTAGCCTCCAGGTAGCGCACCTTTTCGCGCAACGCATGATTCTCCGCCTCCAAATTGGTATCCTGCTGATCGAGGACGCGCAACAATTCAAAATCCTCGCCAGTGGTTTGTGTCCACGCTGTGAGCAACATGGCCGGCTCCTTTCCGTTCCAAAGCGATTTGTCGCGTACATTTATAAAATTAGCGCCATTCGCTTGCAATATCTACAAAAAAAAAAGATTCCTTTTTTAATATAAATACGTATTGCACTTCTGTAGGGAATAAATAAAAAAAGACTTACATGTGGATCCATTTTGGTGATCCGCTGTTGTTGTAAGCGTCTCGCTGGCTGAGCGTCGACTGTGCAAAGAATTTGGCGGCAGAATATCACAAAGAAAGAAGGGAAAAACAAATGCGTGAAATAAAGTACCAAAATGCATGCGAGAGCGAGAGAGTGATAGGGGTAGTTTTATAGTTTTTAGCAAAAGACAAACAACAACAACAATAGCAACGGGAATACGCACGGCACAATGCATTCCAATTACTTACACATGTTACCTGGCAAACAAACCAACAGCAATATCCACACGTACACATATATGTTATATTATTGTGTGTGTGTGTTGTTCTCTCTCGTTTTCTAGCCCTGTCGTTTTCAGGTAAGTGTAAAATTGCTGAAATGGGACTTTCTATATCCCAACTGGTGCGGGACCAATTTTCAATGTCGCTTCGTTTTTTTTCTTTCTTCCTTTACGTTTCGCTGCCTGCTTTCGCTGCCGCTCGCTGCATACATCTGATTCGCGCGGGAGCTGGCAAGGTTTAATTTGAAGGCGAACAGAGTTGTCGCCCAGCAGGCAGCTTTTGGGAAATATTCATGTTTCCACTAAACGCCATTAGCATCAGCCACATTTATTTTGTAGGTTATTCTATTTTTAGTAAATGTATTATATTTAAACAGAAAAAAAATATACATATATAAATATATACGTTCATAGAGAAGTCGCTTAGCTGTAACCGGTTTGCAGCAGTGGAAACGAAGTGGGACTAGTTGTCATACAAAATGAAATATCCCTTTTGGAACTGCAAGGGGCAGAATGCAAAAAGTGCTCTAATCGGAAAAATAAAAATAAAAATCAACCCCTATGCAGGCAGCTGTGGAAGTCATTAGAGCATATAGTATGAAGGAATTCTTAAGCAAAATCTACTTGTAACAGGTAAAATGCGTACCTTTTGTTAAGCGCTCTTTGTTGTAATTCTGTAAACTCGATTCGCAGAAAAACTCAGCATGCATTTTTTGGCAGGGGCAAAATGCTTAAGAATGAATATTTCTTATGCTTCGGTTCGCTTTGAGATATTTATAGGCCATGTTTTGAGTCCATTAAATTGTGTCTTTCGTTCTAATAGCAAATCTAATTTGACTTATAAATACAACGTATTTTTAATGATTTTTTCTATAAAAAGATTTTAGACAGCTAAAGAAAAGAGTTGTAAATGAAATGCATTCCACTTGAGTGGTCTCAATTTCTTGTCATATCGACAACTCTATTCGCCATCTGCAAAATAACTGTTAATCCTAGATCATAAAATTCGCACAAAGCGAGTTTTAAAGGGAATTTATTCAAGGACGCACGTAATTGTAGCTTAATATTTAAAAGAGAAAAAAAAAAAATAGGAAAAACCCTTGCAGCTGCACAAAATTTAGTTACCTGATCTATTTTTCTGTTACCTGTTCCATGGCGAATATTCATAATTTCGAGAATAAAAATGACAATGCTGAGGAAATTTGCATGCCATTTCTCAACCAGCCGCAGACTTGGCCAGAACACGCGCTACGAGCAAATTTCGCAGCTCATCACAATCCACCAAATCCGCAGAGTTTGCTGCCATATCTGCATCCGATATATACGTATAGCTATCAGCAGTATTTCAATCAGTTTGTGCCCTACATTTACGGACTAATCAATCCGGTTGTTAATTGCAATCTCAGCCAGCAATCGACGCCATCCACAGAGATGGACATTGAGAAGTACATCAATTATGAGCTGATCAAGCAGAAGGGTCTGATGCGCAACCAGAATCAGCGTCCTCGCATCTTGAGTCAACTGCAGCTGCCCACCACACGCAGCAGCATCAGCATCAGCAACAAGAAGAAGCAGGAGCAGCAGCGACGCATCATCAATGTTGAAGTGGTTGCCATGGCGGGCAGCACAAGGGAATTGGTCAAAACCCAGGATGACATCGAACCCTTGCCACCCGTCACAGCCGAGTTTAGAGCGAGTGTGGCCAAGATCGCCAAGAGCCAGCAGCATTATACGCAACTCTTTGGCCGGCTGACGAACATGTTGCAAACGCTGAATCGTCGCTACGATGGCAACGAACCGGAGCCGGAAGAGCAACAAGAACAGCAGCAGCTGATCGTTGAAGAGGCACCGCCGCCGCCGTCGAAGCGTGCCCGTCACGACATGTCCAGCAGTTCGTGTGAATCCCACTTGGATGTGGAAATCAGTGCGCCACCAGCAACGCATGCCCAGTATCCACTGCGTGTGAAACTCGAGAACGGCAGCTCCATATATGTGCTCGGCCCGCATGGCACCCACATCGATGCCAAGGATTATGGCCAGGTGTTCTGGACGAGTGCACCGGTAGCGACACGCTGCCTGCTCGCCGCCGTCTTCACCAGCGATGAGCTGGCCACGCACACACTTACCGGCAAACCATCGCCGGCTTTCTATGGTCGCGAACGGCCCGCGAAGAAGATGTTGGATCAGCGCCGGGTCGATGACATCATTGTCAGTGTCCGGAATCGGACGGGTGGCAAGGAGCGACACATTAGAGCCACCATTACCACCAAGTGTGCGGACACTGCCAAGAAGTACAAGCGTCGCGCCAAGAAGGCTGGCAAGGATACTGTGGTTGTCAAGGACGAATCGATTTGAAGTCGATATATGCTTAAAATAAGTTCTTTAGCTGGATATGATCGAGCTATAAATATATACAATACAGTGATCGCTCGCTAAATAGTTAGCTTAAATCCTTTATCCTGATTTTCTATGCAAAACAAATTCATACTTTACTGACGATTTTAGATTGCTAATTGTTCTTAAATACACAATAAACAAATTGTTTGCCGCAATAAAAAAGTTGAAGTTTCCACTCTAATTCTTAGCAGTTGAAAGTTTTGACTTCCATTCAAATTTTTTCCATTTTTTTCTATAATTTTCAATTTATTAAATTCCAGACTTTTTACAAGCTCTATTCACGAGTTTCATCAAATTCTGTCTTCAAAAATAAAAATGCGCATTAAACAAACTTTTTAAACCACTGTTTAAATAAGAACTAAGTAGACATAACAAACTAACTTTTGCAAGTAAAGATATTTAACTAAAGCAATTATGCTGCGGCTTGTGTTCCTTGAGGATCTCTTTATTTTATATAATAACCATTTTATGCTAACGAGTTTATATTTAGGCCTGCAGAACTCCCTATTTCTTCGACGATGGATTCCAAGCTTCGATTTTGGGAGGCGTTGTGGTGTAGGGCATATAGGACTCTGTGGAAATACAATTTTATATTGTATTTGTATGTGGATTAGTTGTTCAACGATATAGTTACCCTTGGTGCCGGACAGATTCTCACTGTGATCCGCAATCCATTTGTATTTGGGACGACAACCATCGCGAATGGGTGGCAAATCGGTCTGCAATGAGGAACACAATATAAATACTCAATTTAAATAAGATTGCACGACGAGAAGATACCTCGGAGTCAGCAGTAAATGATTATAACAAACTTGATGATATAAACAATTGAAATGCAAGCACCTCGTTATAGTAACAACTCTTTATAGCACCACTAGTAACTTTCGCTCGTTATAGCAACAGAAAATCCTTTAAGCAACACCCACTTCTTTTAGTAGGTCCGAATTTTTATAGCAACAACCCTTCATAGTAACACTCACTCCTTATAGTAACGCCCAATCTTTATAGTAACATCACCCACAATTTGTAGCAAAATAAACACTTTATAGGAACACTGACACCTTATAGCAACACCCGCTCTTTATAGTAACATCCGATAACTCTTTACAGCAGCACCCATTCTTTATAGCAACACCCACTCTTTATAGCAAAACCACTCTTTTAAATGGCCACAGGTCTAAGCAAAGGACAACTTGAAATAAATCTTACCTTGTAGTGCATCCAGCCAAACCACTCGGCGGGTATTTGTGATCCATCGTACTCCATATTCACATGGGGTGCGAACTCGACCCAGCGATTTCTGCCATAGAAATAGTAGGGGTTCTCAAAGTACTTGTTGCCGTACTTGTCTATGCCAATTAACGTGCCCGTCTTCAGGTCGTCATTTCTGTTTATATGCGAATTTAACTTATTTGCAAATTATATAAGAGTGTTTCTTGCGCTGATTTACCTGTATAGCTTTAGATAAGCTTGCTTAAAGCCGCCCGCCTCGCGTATTGCCTGGAACAGTCTGCCCAGGCGGTTGATTCCCAAAAAGTTGGCCATTCTACTTCGTCAAATGTAAATAATATAATTTTGTGATTATTTCTAAAATAAAAACTTACAAGAAGAGCAAAACAATGTTGCCACTCAGCTGAAGCTGTTTTTGCTGCGCTGCGAGGGCTGCATCGAGTTATTGACCGGTGTTGGCAAACAATCGATAAGAAATTGTTGCAACCCTGCGTTGTTCACATCTGTTCGCCGAATTGGTCTTTCGTGAATCATTTTGCTTGATAAAAGAAGTAAAACATTGAAAATTTGTGAACAAATAGCAATCGAAACATGGCGAAAAACACGTCAAGCAATGCATTTCGCAAAATCGATGTGGATCAGTACAATGAGGACAACTTCCGGGAAGACGAGGGCGCTGACAGCGCCGCCGTCGGTCCCGACGAGACCGAAATCACCTCGCTGCTGACAAAAGGCAAAAGTGTCGAAGCGCTGCTCAGCGCACTCCAAAATGCCCCGTTACGCTGCAAAAACCAGCACGTTAAGGTAAAGATAATCATAAGTTAAGCATCTATATGTTTATAGCAGAGCTAAACAATTTGCCAACCCATTTGCAGGACAACGCCCTAAATATAACACTGCGCGTGCTGTTATCAATCAAGTCGACACAAATCGATCAGGCCATCGATTCGGTGGAGGAAAACGATCTGATCGATGTGCTCATGAAATACATTTATCGGGGCTTCGAAATACCCACAGAGGGCTCCAGCGGACATCTGTTGCAGTGGCACGAGAAGGCATTCGCCAAGGGCGGCGTCGGCTGCATCGTTCGAGTACTCTCCGACACGAATCGGGCTTAGAGGAGGGACTACTGTATTCTACTTACAGGGACCGAAAACAACCAGCTAATTTAGTCAGTCAGAAATGTTGTGTGTAGTGTCTGCCAAGGAGGAGGATTACCATCCAATACCAAGAACGAAAGAACGAGAGAGAAGAGAGCCAGTCCTAGTTTGATTTTGCCTCAATTACAAATGACAAAGTTTTCCAAATTAGATTTTAACTCGTATTCAAGTATTAAAGTTTTTATTACAAAACTGTCTTCTTCTTGTGCACTGCTTTTTCATATTTAAATATATGTTTTTATAGCCTGGGAAATGGGAGGAACCAACTGAAGAATATACGAATATATGTTTGAACATCGATTTACTTTTCACTGTATTTTGTCAATCGTTTGTTTCTTTTATTTGACTATTCAAAAATGTAATAAGTGCATTGATTAACTTACAAATGAAAAACAAACCAATCACAATTCGGTCATCTCTTTTCACATGCAACATTGTCGAATGAATTCATAGAGCTGGTTTGATGATGGGAGGAGAAATGCTTGTAGAACATGAAATACTCTCTATGATAACGACAGCGATAAGAAAACGAAGAAATGTTTTAAATATGTATGCATGTATGTATGCTTAAATCTATTATAATGATGTCTGACTTAGCGCGTATTCAGAATTTGGTGCTAACTACAATGCGCTAGATTTCTTTTTCTTTTTTTTGGGATACATTCAACGAAGCGAAGAATCTGATTTGTTTTCTATGTTTATAGTTGTAGTTGCAGTTGTCTTCAATAAATAGTGCGTTAAATGTGTTGAATGCTGCTGCCCAATTGCTGCTTGGGATTTAAGTCGAATTTCCGGGTCCAAATACACACACACATAGAGAGACCCACACTACCACATATGAGTCTCGCGTATTTCGCTGATAATGTGATTTGAACGTGTGAGCGCCTAAAAATTAAATAGATATTTAATTAAATAATTGTCGAAATATCAAATAGAATGTGGGGCAAGTAACCTTTAACATATCTGCTGCTTCTTTGCGGCGTATCGCAATGTGATCGGATTCATTCAGCAGTGTTTCAGCCTTTTCCGATTTATACAAATGGGTAACCAGCTCACTTTGCAAGTTGTCCTTAACGTAGTTAACCAAGAAATGCATAATTGCCTTTGGTACTGAGTCTTGTATGGATTTGCGCACAATATAGAAATACGATTTGATCAGGCGCTCTAAAAAAACAATGAAAAATAAAATGAGTTTGGGAAGCGATGCTTGTTTTACGACTCAACTGACCAATGACATCACAATCCTTTTGCTCCTTGTCGGTGAGGCGACGCGGATTGTGCATAGCCGGCACATCGGGCAGCAGATTAACGGGCTTCAGTGGATGCATCATGTTGTTGTGCACCGGCGTATTGCTGGCCGAGTTCTCAAGGCTGTCGGGACGATTGGGCGCGGGTGGTAAAATGTTCGACAGCCACGAGGAGCCCGTTGAGTTCTCGCCAACGTGATTCTAATAGAAATGTAGATTAAATATTATTTACAGCAAATATGCATATTAAGTTAATTCTCGCTTAGGGGTATCTCAGTTTATGTCATGGGCTGCAGCTGTGGTTATGTGAACAGTAAGTCATACTGGGTATTAATAATCAAATGATCGCGACTCTTTCATTAATAATGCATGTTTCTTAAACAAAGGGTAATCGCTGCCATGCTTACATACCCTTGACACAATCAGCCCATAAAATGTTGAAGCGATCTATGAAAATAAGAGTGTGTTCAGACAAAGGATACTCCAAAATCTAGTTTGTGTGCAATTGCTCAAAAATTAATATCATTTTAAATTGCATGTGTTTTTAAAGCAGAAACAATCAGTTTGAAAAAAGGTATATATAGAAAAGATCTCAAATATTTTGGGAATCTCACTTATTGAGTGTGATAGGGTCAATTATTAATTTGTAATTGCATTTACTTTTCTTAATTAACTAAAAGAGACCAAGCTAATTGTGTAGTTTTAAAGATCGATAGATTGTTCGTATGAAAGCTATAACATAGTCCGATATTGATTTATTATTATTTTTTGTTTAGTTTGGCTAGAATAACTTGATAAACCAAAAAGCTGTTCATTCAAGAACTCGTCTTATCGTTCCTAGAGCAGCTATATGTTATAGTAGTCCGATCTGGACTAATCTGGGAAGCTATAAATACGCATATTGGTTAAAGTTGGCACGAATATATTGGTACAAAAAAGTGTTTCTTACAAGGCACATCCTTTGACCTATCGTTTCTATTATACCTATATGATATGTTAAACAAAAAGGATTTAAAACAAACCCTTGCTTCAACAGTTAAATTGCTGCTTTATCCATTTACAAGACTTTCACAATTGAATCTCTGCTTAATACAAATTCTTCTTTAAGTTAAAAGCTGGTTTTTTTTCTCGTAGCTATCCTTAAAAAAATGTTTGTTACCTGGTCAGCGACATCATTTTGTTGTTGTTGCTGCTGCTGTTGTTGCTGCTGTTGTTGCTGCTGTTGTTGTTGTTGCTGTTGCACTGACTGCTGCTGGTTCTGCATGGAGCTGTGCATGGAGCCCTGCGTCGAAAAGTTTGTGTTGCGTGGCGTATTCTGGCGTCGCGACTGGGAATACTCGTTGTCCGTCTTGAGTAGACTGGGCACAAGTGCGGCCTCCTTGTGGAAGTCCGGATGCTTTGTATTAATGTACGCCAGCTCGATGGCCACAATGTTCTCGACCATCACATTTGTGGCAGGCAGACGACAGCGCAACAGTTGCGTCACCACATCGACAATCTTCTCATGCAACTTGGGAAAACTGCAAAGGAATAAGTTAAAATTGCAGTTGATATTCAATATGGAATTATGTTTAGCTACCGCAGCATCTCCTGTTGCACCTCGTTGCCGCAGTGCTGCACAATGCGTTGCATTTCCTCGTGTATCAGCTCCACGCAGCGCAGAGAGGGCTCCTCCAGCCGCCGTATTTGACGCTTCACCAGCAGCTCGAACGACACCTCGGGCACAAACAGCGCTGGTCGCGGTCCCGTCGCATTCCTTATAGCCGTCAGTATGTCCATTTTGGTCAAGCCGGCCAGCGGGTGTATCGAGTCCAAGGTGCGCCCAAAGATCTCATGGAAAATGTAACAGAGACGTGCTCCACCACACAGCTCCGTTGTCTCAATATTCCGGGCCGTGCCCTCAATCGTCGAGCAATAGGCGCTGGAGAACTTTGTGATTATGTGCAGCAGCGTTTGGCTCTTGTCCGAGACATCCTCGCCGTAAGAGTTAAGCAGCGATTGGAATTGCGTGGCCATAATGTTCACGCGCGTCTACAAAAGAGGAGATATTTAAAATGGCAAGTATAAATATAAATATTCAGATTTATATATAATTTCATAGATTAGTGACTCCAACCTTAAGATCGGGCAGGCAGTCGCGTATGTGATGCATCAGCAGGCGGTTAAGCGTCTTGGCCAGATACGGTGTGCCGTTGCGTGTGGCCAGCGTGGGATATTTGCGCTGGAGGAAGGCCGCCTCGTCCTTCATCTGTTCCTCGATGTCCTTCTTGTCGATGATGTCCTGCTGCGAACGATTCATCACACCGATGATGCCCAGCTTGACGGGTATGACGCGACCGCACAATATATCAATGGCATCAGTGCCGGCATCCATGAGATCCAGTTTGGTGACGACGGCCAAAGTGCGCCTGCCATCGGGATCCACATCTTTGGCCAGCTTGAGGGCCTCACTCGTTGCCATGTCCGTGTTGGCCGCCGTTACCGCCAATATTATCGAATTGGGATTCTCAATGTATTTGACGACCAAATCCTTGATTTGCAACTCAATATCCTCGGGCTGATCCCCGACAGGCACCTTCGTTATGCCGGGCAGATCCACAAGCGTCAAGTTGACAACGCGAGTCGAGAATATCTTCAGATTAATGGGATCCGGGCATATGCCCTTGTTGTTGCCCGCCACACGTTCCGTGTCGTTCTCGATCTCCAGACGTATCTCATTGAAGTCCGTGAAGCATTTCTTCGTGTGCAGAAAACGTCCCCATTCCTCCGCATTGACTGTGCCTGAAAAAAAGTATGGCAACCTATTAAAATCTGTATTCCATCAGAGACTTCTTCGTCTCTCTCTTTCTCCGTCTCACTTTCTCTCTCACCATTCTCGGCCGAGCGATGCTCACGATCCTCCAGCGGGCAGTAGATCAGCTGCAGTATTAGCGGACGGCGTGTGACGATGCCCGTTCCACGTGGCAGAAACGAACGTCCGACAATGCTCTCAATAACGGAACTCTTGCCCGAACTCTGCAAGCAGCAAGAAATTCATAGTTAGCAGTGTTGTAAAACGCTTTCGTATTAAGCCAGCAACAATAGAGGCTGCATTCTCTCCCACTCTCAGTTACGCTTCGTGTGGAGTCGAATGCAAGCAGCCGAACGAACATTCGAGCAGGATTAGTGTGTCGCTGGGCTTCGTGTTGACAAGTCCTCTCCTCGTGTTTATTTATGTGCGCACATGTGTGCAAGCCAACAACACTTTTACACTTAGTGTTAGTTCTTATTATATCTCTAAATGCAACCAGGAAGTCAGCCAGCGTTTCGATTATCGCATATAAATACAATTAGGTGCTTATCAGCAAATTACACAATTTCTGACAAGCGGAGTTGGGAAAAAAGTGGATTTGGATGAGGCAAGCGACGCAGTCTTGGGCGTAATATGTTGATCATCTACAATTAATGAACGCTTCGTTTCAAGAGTGGATCACAATTTTCAATTGTCTTGCAGGTTTTTGACATAACTCTGCTCGATACCAGTATATTTCCCACTATGTTGTCTTGGATTAATACTGGGAACAGTAAGATTCTGACAGCAGCGCGCCTATTTGTTTTATTAAGATATCTTTATGCAAAATTTCAATCAATGATATTTTCTAGTTGTAAATAAAAGTATTTTATTCTGAATTTGTTATTTTAATATGTGCATAAAATAAAGTAGTTTTTTAATTGATCTTCGTCAGATGTGAATCTGGATTTGTTTATGCTGTCAGATGAATCAGAATGCATTACTATAATACGCCAATTCAGCCTTAATTACAGCAATGACAACAAAACCACAGATCGCAATTGAATGTGTGTGTGCGTCATGTGTGTGTTTTTTTTATGTTTTGTGTTGCGGAATGTGTGTGTCAGCAGCAGCAGCAGCTGCTTTTGCTCTGCATACTGTGCAAAATATCGATTTTTCGTAAGCAGCTGCGTTCGCCTTAAATTACATAAACATTATAGTGGAAAATACTTAAAGCGGGCTGCTTTTTAATTTAGAAAGCCAATTGTTATTCTTATGTAGTACGTGCCGGCAAGAAGGCAAGCCCCGTTATATAATTTGAAGTATGTCAAATTGTACAAAGTGCGTTGCTGTGCGCAAAATTGAACCGATGATGACAATCACAAAATATTCTCGGCTAGCTCTATTTTTGGTGTTTGGTGCAGATTCAATATTAATGCTGCTGGCGTTGCCAAATTGTTCCTGTTGTTGTTGGGCGACTTACCTGACTGCCGAGCACAACAATTTGCGGCAATTGTATTGAGTCAGAGCCGACGGTATTGAAGACATCTTGTAATTTGTTGATAACTGGAATTAATGCTTCCATTTCCACGGTCGGCTGGTCAATAAGTACGCTGGAACGCTCGCTTTGTCACAATCAACAAACACTTCACTTAATCAATAAGCTTATTATTAATATATGTAACACATTAATACTACGCGTTGCTCAGTTTCTTTTTGATTGACGCGAGAGTGTGTGGTAAAATCTTTTTTTTTGCAAATTTATACAGGGCTGCACTAACATTAAACCCGCAACGAGTGTTGCCACATCGTTCAAATAAGGTGCATGTATTTTTCATCTACAACAATAAAAGCAGAAAATGTAAATTTTTTTTTCTAGAATAAAAACCATCTGCATACAAACCAACTTTTTTTTGTGTTGATTTTGCAATACTCAAGCTATTTATGCTGAAGCATTTATTTGTATTAAATTTCCCAGCAGTGTTTGAATAGTGCGCACTTGTCTGACTTATCGATAACATTGATAGCAATACATTGCCCGCGTTACGAAATTGTTTAAAAACTGAGTACTTATCTTATCTATATGCATAAGACTTTCTGATTATTGTTTAAAACAATTTGATTTATATGAAACAATGCGCATGCACATGATGAAATCGATTTAAAGAATTGGCTTAAATGGATGTAGGCATGTGCCTCGTTAGACTTAACTCTTTAAATTTAACAATTGTGTTTGAAATAGCCACAACCACAAAGACATCCGCTGAAGCCGCAATGTTCGATTGAAAAATTTAACAAAGTGGCAGGCAACAATAGATTGCTCCATATCCCTCCATCCATTCTCTGCTCCACACTTATCCGTTCCACGCTTTTATGGTTTTCTATTCGTTCGTTTTTTTCTTCTTTTTTTTTGGCTTTCGTCTGACAAACAAAATATGTGGACGAGTGTGTGTGTGTGTGTGCTTGTGTGTGTGCCTGTGTGTGTGTGCTTCATTGTGCAAACTTAATGATATGTGCCCAGCCCGAGCTTCAGCTAGTAGAATGTCCATGTCGACGTCCAATACTTCAATATATACCCATACAAACCACCACAATTCACAGTGCATTGTCGGGCCATCTCAATATATTCCACTTTGGCTTCAGATAAAAACTGACCAGGACCAAGGGAGGCATCGCAGGGGAAGACGGGGGATATAAGAGAAGAAGAAGACATCCATTCAAACAGCCAAGTGGTCAGAGGCACAAACAGACGCACACAACTCGCAAATAGCAAATAGAAAAAGGAACAATTGAGCCTCGAGCCTCCGAGTCTGCCTCAGATTTGCATGTGGTGCAGTGGGTGGTGGGTGGTTTGATGGCTTGTTAGTTTGTTACACGTATTGGTTGCTGGCTGGCGACCTCATTTTATCTGTCGATTTTATTGTATGTATGCATATCAAGGCTCAAGGATACTTGCCACTAGGCACAGAGCATTTAAAATTTGATAATGGCCCCAAATGGACTCGAATATTCAATGAATGCGTTTCGACGTTTATTTGCCTTATTTGATGGCAATTCAGTTAACTCTTTTGTGACGATACTCATTAATTTGAATGCATTAAGTGTGTCATCAAAGCCATTCAATGTGTGCTAATGGCATACTGAATATAAACACCTTAAATGGATGGGCAAACGTTCTGGAATGGTCCAAGACATATGACAGCTTTTAACTTAAAGCGAATGCTTTTCTATGTGTGCCGATGGAGTGCAGGATACGAGTACCCAAATATCTTATTCCATATTGGTTTGTCTGCTGTTGATCCCTAACAGATGTGCGAGTATTTTCAAAGATAAGTCTCTAGACTAGATAAATTAATTAAGTAGAATGGAAACATAGAACTAATTAACTAATTACATTAATATTATTAAAGTTGAATTGAAATAGTTCCTTGAAACTCTCCAATTCGAAAAGGTTGGAAAGTTCTTTTGAAAGCTTTCACTTCTGTTATAATTGAGTTCCTTTATATTTAAACAATTCGTAAGCTCCTTTGAAAAGCTTAAGTCTTGGAGTAGTTTCATTGAGCGATTATATTTGTATATTTGTGTTCATATTTTGTATATAAGCTAGTGTCATTGAGGCATTATTTCCAAAGGTGTCTGACTTGTGCTTGGTTTAACTTTAGGCTTCCAATTAGCAAAGGTTGGACCACACACACACATGCACACACATACACACACACACATAAAAACTCAATGGTGGAGTGGGCATATTTGAATGTCTCATCAAATTCACATTGTTGGAAGCAAGTTTCTTATTTGCGTTGACAACTTGCCAAAAATATGCGCAACGCTGACAAAATTTACATACACACACAGATACATACATACATACGTACAATTACATGGCAAACTTGTCGACATTTATTGCCTGGAACAGTCGTGCGGAGTCCTGTGTCTCCACAGACAGCCAGGCAGACAGACATAGTATCCTTAATGCCATTCTCGAGGTGACTGAATATTAATTTGATAATTTTACGCTCGAATGCAAATTTTGGTGTCGAGTCTTTTGCTCTCTAATTGACTGACGAATATTTTAAATATGAATTTCAAATGAAGTTCAACAAATGTTTTCGCCATTTTCCTTTTGTTCTCTTTTATTTTCTGCTTCGTTTTTTTTGTTGTTTTTTTTTTTTGGTTTCCTGTTTCAATTATAATTGTGTTTGCTGATGATGATGATGATGTAAACGATAGTCACTGCATTTAGCTGTTGAAAATGCGTCAGCGGAGCCCTGCATTAATCATTCGAAAGTAATTTTGCGGATTTGCATGCGTTGCAGAAAACGATAATTTTCATCCATCATTTTCAAGTGTTTCCGCAGGATTATAATAGCCAGATAGACATGCCAGAATGGGTAGCAAGCGGAGCATCCGGCTGCCAGCCAACGAGCCTGCCATTCTCTGTCTGCTTACCCATCAGATGGCTGTCTGTGTGTGTGTGTGTGTGTGTGTGTGTGTGTGTGTGTGTGTGTATTCTACGCTCATTATCCTTCGTCGTCGTCAATTATTCTTGTAGCATAGCACTTGTCGAGCAGCTCGAAGGAGCATACAACTGCTGCTCTTACATTTTGCTGATGAGCTCGCCAGCTTCTGCATCAGTTTCCACATTTTCCTACCTCCCCCTCCCCCTCCTCCACACTCCTCTGGTCGCTTAATTTATGTGGCATGCATTGCTCATTTTCTTGGCCGCCTTTTGTAAATAGCATCTTTTGGGACGCAAGTTGATCAATCGCATAGACCGCATCCATCCATAGTTCAGTTCAGTTCAGTTCCGTACAGTTTTCGTTTTGCTTTCGGCTTCAGTTTGCAGTGTATTTACATTACGTATACGACATGTGTGCAACGGTTGGTAGAAGTTGGTTTTGGTTTTGATTGCGCTTGCCACACAACTCTGTAGCAATAATGAACTTGGATTTTGCCTTGTGTGTGTGTGTGGGTGTGTGTGTGTGCACTCGGCCTTGTATTGTGTGCTCCACTAATGACTGTTGCACAGTTGCACAGTTCCACAGGCCGCCAGGGCTATCGGTGTGCATTGGAAATGTTGTGGCAAGCGGCAGTCTCAGTTTGGCAACTTGAGATGATTGACTGCAGTTGACTTCATGCAATATTTTGTGGAACGATGGCGATATCTGAAAATAAAAGTTGATCAACAAAGACGTATAAAGGGAAAAATAATTGGATGTGCAAATATACGTAGAGTATTAAAGACGAAGAAAGCGAAGAATTAATGAATCCTTTTACGGTGCACTGTTTGTATAAAGCTAGCTGGTATTCAACGCAAATTCTATTTATTCTCTGGTAGCTGCTAAAGTATTTCTCAAAAGTTGAGGAAAGCTCAACTTCTGCTCTTAATTGTCAGCATTGAAATACGATCAATGATTAAATTTATGCACATATATAAGTATATATATGTATGTATTGGCTGGGTATAGTGTATTTCATAATCGGATAATCGTGATCTAAGGCACTCCCTCTTTTTAAATGAATTCCAAGTCAAAATCAATGCCTACCAAAAATTGTGCTTATAAATTTAAAAGCAGCATGAAATGAAATATGAAAAAAGATTAAGAAGATGACGCATGACTTATCAGCAAACAAAAATGCCGATTCACTTTGGGCTTTCCCAAAAAAAATAAAATTAGAGAGCAGCACTCACTGTTAGTGTTATCAAAGCAAATTTAGTAAACGTAAAATCTTTAAATAAATCTTATGAATCTTTATATATATTAACATGTATTTACATAATTATATGAATAGCATTATTAAAATTGAGAATTCATTGAGACTTTAGAATCAAGTCTGTATTAAATGCGTACTAGCTTAGTTAGAGTTAAAGATAATGATCTGAGGTACACCAATAGGGATGAATGAACTTTATTATCACACTGCGGGCAGTTTAGCTTTTTGATTGTGTTCAGAACAGTGTGCCTTTTAATTATGAATAATTTTACTATGCGAAATCATTCGGTTGAATGAGAATTTACTCTCCACAAACAGACCAAAAATACGAACTAGTAAAACACTCAGCAGAAGGAAACATTGTTTTTGAAAAGAATTAATTAATTATGAGACGCTGTAATATCGCATTTCTGGCCAAGGCAATTTTTGAAATTTTGGCAACATTCTTAGCAGCCAAATTATCGCACATTAGGCAAGTCATTAAAACGTCCAACACAATTCAATTTATGGCAATTTGCGAACTTCCCAGCTAACTATCTAGCATCTGGAATATGAGTCTATGTGGTTGGTATTCTGTGCTGGCTGCAACTCAACTCAATTGCAATTCTCTCAAGTCTCAACGAGCAGAAAGCAGCAAAAAAGTATCTGTGAAGTTTGCAGATGTCGTTGCCAAGTCGCAGTTGGCCATTAATTAGGCCAAAACGGCTGTTGCCAAATGCGCAGATGCGAAATTATCAGGATGTGACACACATGTTTTCGTCGCAGTTTGGTCTGTTTAATTGGATTTTGTATAATTACATACACTACACCCATTAGAGATGGTTAAAGAGGGTTTACTTAAGCTGTCCTCAATTATGCAACACACTGATAACAAATCATTTATTATAAATGATTAATTAGCATTCCAATATGTTGGACAAACAGCTAATAGTTGCTAACTTTCCTGAATTTCCATTGAGAAAAAAATGTTTCAATACAGATACAATTCTTTTAATAATATTACAAATGTGCACTCAA